AAAACCGCGTATCAAGATAATGCAAAACCGCGTATGTGACGTTGCATAGATTATTTTCTAGAGACTAAAAACACCTATATTTCAAAATTGTTCTCTTTTTTATAAAGCAATCGCATATCTGGCTAGTATATTTCAGGACGAATGGNCAGCAAATGTCAGTTACGCGGTTTTGCAGAATGACGATACGCGGTTTTGTACTTTAAACGACGATATATATAAAGTAAATTATACTCTTTCTGTAGTAATCTCTTTCATATCACATATTTTCATTTGTTAATTTAAAAAGAAAGATTTCAATGTACATAGTTTAAAAAACTAAATTTGATTTATTAAAGGAAACTTTTATCAATTTTACTGAAAAGACTTTAAATACACTCTAAAAAAAATTTTGTTTATTTGCGCATATTGAGAGAAATAACCAGTTTCCTCTTTTAATGTGTGCAAATTTGCATGCCGTGTAATAAAATTAATCATTGCCTGTTTACTTTTACATAACGAATTTGTCGGGAGAGCAAAATTACACATAAAATGTTTAAAATAAAGTAATGTTTATTATTAGTAGGAAATGTATTTGTAGTTTGAAAATTTTTGCAATTTTAAACATTCTATATATGTGTATTTATGTGTATATCTTAAAGATCTCAAGTTCAAAATCGAATACTAAACAACATATACGTATATTTATACAGATTCTTGTTGAAAAATAGATACTTTTCAGTAGTAGTTTTACATGCTCTTTTTAGAGTGTACTTGCTATTTATTATATTTACTTTGCAAAATACTTATGCACAAAAAATGTACTTTATAAATTGAAATTACAAATGTTTGATTTTACGCACATGTATTCCAAGTCCTTAGGATGGGTTAAATTATGTCTTTTTCATTAAAATGTTTGGCTTTCTTACAACTTATGAGATGTGTATGTGAAAAAAGAAAATTGGATACATTTGGATACATTTTTGTCTTGGTCAGGGATACATTTTCTTGAGACGGCGCGGCAACACTGCCGACGACATCGATATTATTGGATTGGATAGAGAAGCAAAGCGAATGGGTCTGGTGGTGAACGAGGACAAAACGAAGTATCTCCTGTCGTCACACAAACAGTCAGAGCATACGCGTCTTGGCACCCACGTCACTGTTGACAGTTACAAGTTTGAAAAAGTAGACGACTTCGTTTATTTGGGAACCAGCATTAACACCAACAATAATGTCAGCCTTGAAATCCAACGGAGAATCACTCTTGCCAACAAGTGCTACTTTGGGCTGAGTAGGCAATTGAGAAGTAAAGTCCTCTCTCGTCGTACAAAGATCACACTCTATAAGTCACTCATCATGCCTGTGCTGGTGTATGGCGCGGACGCATGGACAATGAAAGCATCTGACGAGNAGCTGTATGAGCTTTACAACGATATAGACATAGTGCAGCGAATTAAAATTCAGCGGCTCCGCTGGCTTGGCCATGTCGTTCGGATGGACAGAAACGCTCCTGCTCTGAAAATATTCAACGCGGGCCGCGATGCTGGTAACAGAGGAAGAGGAAGGCCTCCTCTGCGTTGGAAAGACCAGGTGGAGAAGGACTTGGCTTCACTTGGCATTTTCAATTGGCGTCAGTTAGCACAGAAGAGAAATGACTGGCGTGCTGTTTT